ACGTCTTAGGTAGGCAAACATAACTTTAGAGAGAGAGAGACTCACTCCAAAGTAGAAAGCGCATGGCAAATAAGGTCAATATCTTGTAGAGTTTGCACCTTTACAGCGTCTGCAGCCAAGGAGGAATTTTCATTCACAGCCGGAGCGATAAAGTGGTCGTAGCAATTGATGCAGATATTCTTTAGCCTCTTCTTTTCCTTCTTGGCCTGCGCCTTCGCCTGCTCCCTCTCCTTTTTCTGCGCCTCCGCTTCCAGACGTTGACGCTCGGCATCTGCCGCCATGGCTGCCTCTGCTGCTGCGGCCTCCGCTTGAGCGCGCTGAAACAAAAAAAGGCATTAAATAAATGACTGATTACTTTTAGGGAGACAAAGTAGATCAATGTGAAGGAAAGACAAGGGATTAACGCATGCTTGTCACTCAGGTCAGGAGTCACAAGTTCAGTGAGTGTCAATTTAACCCCCCTCCACTAAGGGCGGAAAGCCCAACCAAATCGATTGAGTCTGGTAAATAGCATGAGGTTCCACATTTAATTTTTCCACCAGAGACATCTTGTTGCTCCTCCTTTGTACAAGAAATGATTTCCCCAAAATGGCATTGGGAATCATCTGTAACGTTGCGCAATCTTATGCTGCGTTAGAAGATATTAATGAAAACTCGATACTTAAAAGATACCAATGAATTTACTTTTAACTGGCAGATCAAACAGAGTTAAAAAGTTAAAGGAACAACGAATAAAAGTGTTCAGGTGAAATATGGAAGAGAAATATGCTAATTTGGATTGAACATCACATCTGACACAATGATTTGACACTCCTACCTAATCATAACTTTCCCTTTTGTGACAACCGATAAGCTGAATTCTAACGAATTTTACTTTCACAAGTATGAAAATAATGGGAATTTAACAACGGTTTACAGTTAAGTCATAGCGTAACTTTATGACAGTAAAATTTTGTCTTCAATAGTAAAAAAAGAAAATGACAAAAATTAAGTAAATTGAGGAATTCCATCAGGTATAACTTCACTTCACGTTCCCAGTACGTGCAGATAAAATCGCAAGTTTAATCCCAGACCACAATGACTCTAGTAAATTGTAAATGTTAGCTAAAGGAGTTAAATGTCGACATTGCAGAACGATATTCACAAAAAGACAAATATGATCTAATCATTTTGAGAATACTGTTAGGTAAAGTGTTAATTAAATTAAGCGAAAAGACCTATCAGTTTAAATGAAAAAAAGCTCAACATTTATTCCAAACTTAGAATGTTGTTGGAAAGATTTCAACTAAAGAAAATATCATGCAACTTATAAATTTATTTTTCCTGGGAATTACCCTTAACAAAGTGAAATTTTTTTAAAGGAAAAAATACAAAAAGACATGACCAATAAATAGAGTAAAACACTAATAAATAAATAATCATGACGATGAAAAACAAAAAACATAGTTAGAACTTCATGAGTAAGGACTTAATTAATGATAAATAGCTTACAGCTTCTTCCTCATCCTTTCGTCGTTGGATGGCTTCAAGGCGTGCACGTTTGCGGGCCTCTTTGGCGTCTTTCGCAGCTTTTTCAGCAGCTATGATTCGAGGGTCGAGAGAACGGGCGAGATCAATAATCTGGTGGACTTTTTTGAGCTCTTCATTGCGACGCTTTTGACGCTCCGCTTTGTTAAGCCGATCGAGGTATCGACGGTGATCACGACTATAGGTGAGAAAGCAAGTCCATAGAATTCGGAATGACAATAGTATGTTTATGATAGGCAGTGGGTTTACTTAGAGCAGATAGGATATCGTTCTAAAGAGAATTATAAGTCGATTAATAAAATAATTTAGGCCTAAAACGCGTTTATTCCAAGACTCGGAAAAAAGTGCCATAAAAAATTTAACCGAAGATTAGGTATGAATTAAAGTAAGATTGGAGTAAATTGGAAATTTCATGACACTGGATGTATAATAGACAATTTGAACAATCAACTGCAGATATCTCAATTTGATTTCACGCGAATTCACAGTAATAAGTTAATTTTTT